CCCGAATCAGGCCCTGTCACCATAGACCACTACGGTCTTGCAACCAAATAGAGGTGCTTGGCCAATGTGAAACAGAAGCAGCTATTTTTCAAACGCAGCCAAAGCGAGGCGGCCGCTTCAGTGAAGCTGTCGAAAATGGATGGGAGAAGGGGATGGACGGGAGACGGTCCATGGACAAGTGAGACAAGCTTGGAAGACTCAATACCTTAGACAAGGCGAATTGCGAATGAGTAAAGGCCATAGCTTTGAGAAACGACATAAAGTTGGCCTATGGAGCCTGAAAGCACGTTGCAGCCGAGGGGCAAACGTTAGCTGTGTTCTCGGCAAAGTCGTGCAACGACATCATGTCCGTGTTCAGTTCCTTGATGCACGCGCATCGCTGCTGTTGCTCCCAGTGATTTTAGTATCTTCCAACCTGAAATGGTCATGCGTTCTCACAGGCTGCACTTCCTTGCCAGTGTGGCCCGAAATCAAAAGTAGCTCCCCATTCGGCTGGGGCTGGGGTCTTAGCCGCGCCGGCTACCTCACCATGGAAATGCGTCCGCCAAGTTTCCGCACGGCGAGTCTCCTTGCGGGCCACGGGGTCATACTCCACCTCGGTAAGGGGTTGGTGGCAACCCTTCAAACTCGAGGATTCTTGGTGAGCCTAATCTTGCTGGTGCTCAGCAGGGAGGTGAATGAGGGAATTGTAAGCCATCCCTTGTGTCCTTGGAAGGAATCCCCCGGGGTCATGCCCACCTTCCCTACTGAGCACCAGCAAGTAAGTTCATTTCCCGGTCTCAAAAAAAAGGAGCGAAGCAAACACGCACCATCAATCTCTGCCCATCGGTCTGCCTATTGATCCCAACCTCAGCCCATAAGCCCACATGCTTTCCAGCAATCTAAGGCAACGCTGATTTTACGTGCTCGCCCAGCAGCGCGCGAACGTGCGCCACATGCCAAACCCCAAAAACAGGCCCAATGCAAGCGATTCTTTTGGCCGCGGCACCATCCACGCCTTTGACGTCTCGGTTTTGCCAATGGTCCACCCTAGCGCAACGGGGCAGGAGCAAGCAACCAGAAGGCTTTCCCCTCCTGGAACAGTTCTGCAATTCTGCCATCCGGTTGCTTGCCTACTTGCTTTTGCTTGACTGCCTTGATTGACTGATTGACTGATTGATTGATTGATTGATTGATTGATTGATTGATTGATTGATTGATTGATTGATTGATTGATTGATTGATCGGAATCGTTGAAGGATTGATCTATCCTCGCTTTGAAACTTTTTGCGCGCTTGTTTGCTTGTGTGTTTGTCCGGTTCTTAGTCAGTCAGCTTCTTGGCTCTGTTTGTTCCGTCTTGCCGTCAACAGTTTTGGGGTAAACAGATTGCACGTGACGTCTGCTCACGGCCAAAGCCGTGTCCCTACTCACGAGCCGTGTCCTTGCCAGATCCAGAGAGCTATGGCACAGCTAGCGCTTGAACCCCTCCATGGTGTCCTTTTGGTGTCCCGTTAAAAGACCAAAAACACCCAACCAGCTGCAACCGGAGGCCGCCGCCCGGCTGCCGGGTCGGATCCGGCTGAAACCCAAACCAGGGTCTCCGTCGGGTGAACAAAAAGCATGCCATGAACGCCCAAGCATACCATGCCATGAATGGCCGACCAAAATTGTTTTGCTGGAAAAGTGATCCATGCATATCATTCTCCGCCTGACATTGGCACACATCGCAAACCCTGGGCCACGAAATTTGCAACGCAATTCGCAAAAACAACACAACAAGGTGTGAAGCAGGCAGTTCACTCTATCCTGTCTTTTGATTCGCACTAGGCTAGATAAAAAAACAACACCAACAAATCAAGTTTGCCTTTAGCTCTGCTTTGGAAAACCTCGGCATGTTCACATTGAATGCTTTGAAGGGCGAGTGTTCTCCTGGCAAGATGATTGTACACACTTCAATTCCACATCTCAAAACACACACTCAGAATCTGCCATGGCTACGAATTGTCATGGGGAGCCCCCTCCAAAGTGGTTGGTGGACATGGATCCCCACCTAAATTATGTCCCTAATTAAGAAGCAGACCCGTATCATCATTGTTTCCCTCCACCCACTCAAGTTTCCCAGTTTCCCTCGGATTGGCGGCTTGGGGTTGCCCATGTACCCTCTGCCATTACCACCAATTGCGAGTGCTGGATTTTCAAACGCTACATCTCAAGAAGACACACACACAATCTGCTACATTCTCCTTGTTTCCTCCAACTCAGGTTTCCAAAAACAGCGCCTCTGAACGCTTACAAGTCCCCAGCCTGCCATCAGCTCATTGGAGAGCCATTGGGTGACATCCTGGACCTCGAAGTAAAGGACTTTGCCGCTGCCTGGGCTTGGGGTGGATCAATCTATTCCCTGCGGGCCCCAAGTGACCCATTGGCCGTGGGCCAATGGGCATTGGATGTGAAGGCCGTTTAATTAACAACCATATTAGTTGTGAGGATAATGATTCGATGGCGATACAAGAAAGGCATGTCTTGGGCATGCAAACTGTCCAAGGCCTGCCAATCGTGCAAAGCACGCGCACACACAGCCAGAGCTAGGCCCGGCCCAGTCATCACACCCTGTCGGAATTTTATCAACAAGGTTTTGGACAAATACCTGAATCACTTCTTCACCATGCATATTCAGAAAAAGTGCAGGTCGACACGGAGAACTTGCCTTCTTCAAGGACCTCTCACGTTCGCCTGAACAGTTCCCAGCTTTGGCCGCCTACTCGTCTCCGGGGTGTGACTGCCTGGAGTAGCACTGTAACAGTCACTCACTTACTGATAAGAGAATAAGGGATTCAAAACAACTAGCCCCCCCTCGCGGCCGTACCCTTAGCCACTTGGTTGGGCTCCTGAGGACAACAGAACTTGCAAACGTGTCGAAACTAGATTTCTTTTACGAGTGTCCTTGTTGAGGCGGTCCTAGCTCATGCACGTTGTTCGCCAACAACTATCATAATCTTCCTTGCGGTCGAGAGTGTTCATGCATAGACGAGCCCACACTGGTGGACCTGTTTCCCTGCACCTGAAACCTCTATACCAAGAAGAACACAAACCACCACCACCAGCGCCACCAGCGCCCACCACCACCAGCGCGACCACCACGACCACGACGGCCGCGACGACCACGCCAACCACATTGACGACTACAACCACCACAATCACGACAACATACCACAACCGCGAAGACCACAACGACCACCACAATCAACAAGAACAAAACCAAGAACAAGAACACCAACAACCAACACTCAACAACCGCCAACTACCAACCACCAACAGCCGCCAACCCACTGCCACCCTCCGACCACCACCCACCAAACACCAACTACCAACTACCACCTGCCACCCACCACGCACCCACCACTGCCCACTGACCGCTGACCACTGACCACTGCCCACTGCCCACTGACCACCCACCAACCACAAAAATAACAAAACAAACACAAACAACAAACAAAATACATACGCCCAAACAAGCAAACAAGAAATCAAACAACAAGCAACAAGCGACAAGCGACAAGCAACAAGCAACAAGCGACAAGCAACACAAAACGAACAACAACAAACAAAAACGAACAACGAAAACCAAACACCAAACAACAACCAGCAAACAGCAACCAACAAACAACAAACAACGAACACTGAGCACCAAACAACGAGCAACACACACACAACAACCAGGCGAAAAGGCAACCAACAAACGACAAACAGCGAACAACGAACACCAAATAAACAACACACAACAAACAACAAGCAACACCACCACCACCGCAAAATCCACCACGACACCAACAACCAACCACAACCACAACCACAACCACAACGACGACGGCGACAACAACAACGACAACGACAACGACAACAATAACAAGAACAAGAACACAAACACAAACACGAACAAGAACAAGAACAAACACAAGAACAATAACAAGAACAATAACAGGAACAATAACAAGAACGAGAACGAGAACGAGAACGATAAGGACAACGACAACGACGACGACGACGACGACCACGACCACGACCACGACCACGACAACGACAACGGCAACGGCAACGACAACGGCAACAACGACGACGACGACAACAACAACGACAACAACGACGACGACCACGACCACGACCACGACCACGACAACGACAACGACAACGGCAACGACAACGACAACAACGACGACGACGACAACAACAACGACAACAACGACGACGACGACGACGAATACGACAACAACAACGACAACAACGACGACGACGACGACGACAACGACGACGACGGCGACGACGACGACAACGACAACGACACCGCAACCACAACCACAACCACAACCACAACAACAACAACAACAACAACAACAACAACAACAACAACAACAGCAGCAGCAACAACAACAACAACAGTCCCTGCACGCGAGCTGCCATCCGATGTGGCGCCGGCGAGCCAAGGGTTGTGGTCGTCTGGGGTGAGCTGCACATTCTCCGCGCTGGAGAAGCCGCTGGACAGCCTCAGTTGTGAATGTCCAGCCAAAGGTTCAAGAGACACCCAGATGTAGACCAGGGGTGAGTAAAACGAGTGTGTCCCTGTCGCAAATTGTGAGAAACGCGATCCTAAGAAATGGCTGTGGCTCAAAAAACCGGAATTCCAAAGTGGGTTGCCCTGAGTGGAAAGATGGACCAAAACCTGCGTAACCCTAGCTCTTGAAAAATTGAGCCACTGCCATGTGGCACTTCTTCTTTTCTTTTTTGCGGGGAACGCCTTCTGCTGACATGTTTTGCGTGATGAAGCCTCAACACAATGCCGGCCAAGGATGTAAATTCAAGCTGAAGCAAGCTTGCTGGCCTTCTTGCATTTCTCGGACGAGACGCCAGGTAATAAAGATGGGCTTGCCCACCAAGTTGTTTCCGTACTCCTCCCAAAAACAAGCAGAACTCTCGATGGCTTGAGTTGAAGCCGACAAAGCTGTGTGAAAGCCAATGCGGTCAA